GAGAGAACAGGCTTGTGGTTGCCAAGGGGGAGGAAGGTGAGGGAGGGTTGGATTGGGAGTTTGGGGTTAGCAGATGTAAACAATTATATAGAGAATGGATAAACAACAAGGTCCTACTGTACAGCACAGGGAACTATATTCAATATCCTGTGATAAACCATAATGGAAAAGAATATGAAAAAGAATGTGTGTATATGTATACCTGAATCACTTTGCTGTACAGTAGAAATTAACACAACATTGTAAATCAACTATACTTCAATAAAATAAAAAATTTTTAATAAAAAAATAAACTTCTGACTCAGTTTCTTCATCTGAAAAACATGGGACTTCTCAAGGCCACTATGAGGATTAAATGAGATTGTGCATGGAGAGTTCTTAGCTTGGCACCTGGGACATAGTGTTCAAAAAGTGTTCCCTGTGAACTCCTTTGGGGGTTTCTTCATTCTTTACTGATGCTTGTGAATCTAAATGAGGCTGCCCTTCTCTGCACTGATCTCTTTGACAAGAGGGCCCCTTGCCTCGGGCATGGGTTGAGCCTCCTGCCCCTCTCATCCCACGTGCACCATTCCCCAATTACACTGTGCCCCACCAGACAGCAGTGAGATCCAGGAGGACGACAGGGAGAGGATGCGGGGGTTCATGGTGCTGTCAGGGCTCAGCGCACCTGTGGGGCTAGGGACTTCTACCACCAGATGGTCAGGAAAGGGATGGAGAAGGGATGACTTGCAAGACTCACTGTCTCTGGTCAAAGAACAGGTCTTGGTCAACCCATACTTGAAGACTGGCAAGTGTCAGAACCTCAGAAAATCCTGCCCAGGGCAAGGATTTATTAGAGGAGGTCATCGCGAGGACGTGACCGCTGGTTGCCCCGTGCATGGGACCCGGGCAATCGGAGGCTCCTCACCCCCTCCCCCGTGCTTGGAATGTACCTTCTGCCCACTGTTCCCACAGTGGGAGGTGTTCCAAGGATGCAGCCTTAAGAGAAGGATGCTGTTGAAACCATCTGCACGGTGTACACGGCTGAACCAGGCTAAGGCCTCCCTGTAAACTTTTAAGCTTCTGGGTGCAGAGATTGGCTGGTCTTGAGCCCGCCCCCAAACAAACACGTAAGTTCCCTTGCTGGTTAAAACTGCCACCTACCGGGGCTTCCCTGGTGGTGCAGTGGTTGAGAGTCCGCCTGCCAATGCAGGGGACACTGGTTCGTGCCCCAGTCCGGGAAGATCCCACGTGCCGCGGAGCGGCTGGGCCCGTGAGCCATGGCCGCTGAGCCTGCGCGTCAGCAGCCTGCGCGACGGGAGGGGCCACAACAGTGAGAGGCCCGCGTACCGCAAAAAAAAACAAAACAACAACAAAACCCTGCCACCTACCAATCCGGAGTGGTCTGCCTCTTTCTTCTCTCTCTCTCTGCCCTCTGTGTGCCCTCCAGAGTAAGGGGCTGGTTTCAAATTTCACCCAGGAAGTTCCCAGCAGGAAGCTAGAATTAGGGAGGGGGAGGTGTGTGGCTTTTCTACCAAGTCAGAAGCTAATTTCAGGGTGCAAGTTTAGGGAGTAGGACCAGGGTCCACATAAGACTTACACTCGCAGGAAGGAAAGGTTCTGATGGCTTTTTTGGTTTAAGGTACAACAGTAGGAAAAGCTGCCCAGAAAGGTCTTGGAGGCGCGCAGCGGGGAGGGGTGGGGTGTTGTAGGGTTCGAGACGTGGAATTTGGCCTCCTCTCAGCCCTTGACCTCCAGCTCCAAGTTCAAATTCAGCCTGAACTTCAGCCCTTTCCTCCTCTCTCTCTCTCTCCCCTATCTTCCTCTCTCTCTCAAAAACTTGCTACCTATAGGCAGGTCAGCAGCTCCCATGCGGACAGGATGGGCTGCCCCAGATGAGAAGGAAAGTTCTGGAAGGGACCCCTCTCCCAGTGCTCAGCCTGAGCTGCACCTGGAGCTCACACCTCCCTCTCCAGTCCTGCTCCCCACCCGGCAGAAAATCATCCTACAGGGGCTTCCCTGGTGGCGCAGTGGTTGAGAGTCCGCCTGCCGATGCAGGGGACGCAGGTTCGTGCCCCGGTCCGGGAAGATCCCACATGCCGCGGAGCGGCTGGGCCCGTGACCCATGGCCGCTGAGCCTGCGCGTCTGGAGCCTGTGCTCCGCAACGGGAGAGGCCGCAACAGTGAGAGGCCCGCGTACCACAAAAAAAAAAAAAAAAAAAATCATCCTACAGTATTTTAAGATCCCCGGATTATCTTTCATTGAAAACTCTTCTATATTGATTTTTCCAACTAGATGCATGTATAATATTATTTTGATTGTTTTAATAAACAATAATTAACAAATAAACATTCATTATCAAATAAATAATGATAAGCAAAACAATGGAAGAGGGATTGGCTAAAATGTTCATCAGCCCATCACAGACCCCGGTCCTTCCCAGCTCCCTGCAATGTGAGCCTGGAGGCATGGGTGTCCCTAGGATGCCCATGGGTGTCCCTAGGATGACCACCCCGAGGCTCATGCCAGTAACTCTTTTTCAGATCAGGCAACGCTGTCCTATGTCTCCTCTACTCCAAGAGATGAATCTTCTAAACCAGCAGAAACCAGAATACCACATGCCAGTATGAAAACAGAGGAGGAAAAGGGGGCACAAAAACCCAGCAGTGGTGAGAACTTTTTTTAAAATTTATACTTCACCTTTTTCCATTAAAGTTGGGAATTACAGGGCTTCCCTGGTGGCGCAGTGGCTGAGAGTCCGCCTGCCAATGCAGGGGACACGGGTTTGTGCCCCGGTCCGGGAAGATCCCACATGCCGCGGAGCGGCTAGGCCCGTGAGCCATGGCTGCTGAGCCTGCGCGTCTGGAGCCTGTGCTCCGCGACGGGAGAGGCCACAACAGTGAGAGGCCCACATACCACAAAAAAAAAAAAAAAGTTGGGAATTACAAAAGCATTTCTGCAATATTCAACATGAGCAGGGATACCATTTGTTTTTTCTTGTTACAAAAGCCCTGCCTACTTAGAAATTTCTGTCCGAATTTTAAATTCATATGTCCTTTGACCCAGTATGGTACACACAGTTTATTACCTACCTATCCCAAAAGCATTCCCTCCTTTCTTCTTGCTAATAGAAGCTCGATTATTTTTTTAATTCTCAGCGTTTTTTTTTAAGTTGTGTATTTTATTTTATTTTATTTTATTATTTTTTTGGCTGCATTGGGTCTTCGTTGCTGCAGGTGGGCTTTCTCTCGTTGTGGCGAGTGGGGGCTACTCTTCGTTGCAGTGCACAGGCCTCTCATTGCAGTGGCTTCTCTTGTTGCGGAGCACGGGCGCTAGGCACTCGGGCTTCAGTAACTGCAGCACACAGGCTCAGTAGTTGCAGCATGCAGGCCCTAGAGCACGCGGGCTTCAGTAATTGGGGCACATGGGCCCAGTAGTTGTGCCTCGCGGGCTCTAGAGCACAGGCTCAGTAGTTGTGGCACACGGGCTTAGTTACTCCTCAGCATGTGGGATCTTCCCAGAACAGGGATCAAACCCGCATCCCCTGCATTGACAGGCGGATTCTTAACCACTGTGCCACCAGGGAAGTCCCATCAAATTTTTTTTTTTTTGGAAGTATAGTTGATTTACAAGGTTGTGTTAATTTCTGCTGTACAGCAAAGTGATTCATTTATATATATCTACATTCTTTTTCATATTCTTTTCCATTATGATTTATCACAGGATATTGAATATAGCTCCTTGTGCTATACAGTAGAACCTTGTTGTTTATCCGTTTAGAACCTCGATTTTTATAGCCACGTGGTCACCTGCCTCAGCCTCAGGGATGAAACAGGATTAATTTAAGATCTTAGGTCACTTTCCCATTAGCGTTTGCAGACATTTGCTTTCCAGGCCTTCCTTGCAGCTCCAGCCAATGAGATGACAAGGGAAACCTGGGAAGACTGTGGCTTCTGGGGAAGCCACTCTCCATCAAGAAAAAGAGAGCATGGTTTGCTGTAAAGGTCTTTTCACCACTGCCCTCTACACACAACTTCCTGTTGTGACATCTAGAGCTGCAGCAACCATCCCACACCCATGAGGTGACCGGCACAAGAACAAAAGCCAACACACTGAGGATGATGGAGACGGAAGAAATGACTTTGGCCATCAGTGTTTCGGTCCAGCTGCTGAACCAGCCTCACTGCCTCTCTCCAGACTCTGACGTGAGAAAATTAAATGTCTTTATTGGCTAAGCCACTATTAGTTAGGTTTTCTATTAACTGCAACCCAACAAACTCCTAATGGGATAGACTTGGGAATTACATTCATTCTTTCACTCATTCAACAAATATTTACTGAGAGCTTGTTCTTTGCCAGGCTCTATTTAAGAAACTAGAATTCTACTACTAAGAATTTACCCAGATTTATCTGCAAAAGTAGGCCACGATTTTTATATGTGAAAAAATGTTAATGTCCAACAAGAGGTAACTGGTTAGTTATTTTCATGGAGCTGTATTAAAAGAATGTATGTGATGGCATAAAGGATCTCCAAGATATAGAATATATTTTTTGTCTACATAAAAAATATATATTTTAAAAATTATCTTGGTCCCAAGAACCTAAAGACATCCCTCCCTACAGCAAAGCTACCTGGAGGGGACAAAACACCTGTCTTGGAGCCAAGGGCTGGCCCCCAAGGAAGGTGAGCCAAGGTGGGACCATCCAAGCGACTCAAAGAACTAGCCACTCACCCCAGTTCCATTCCCCAACTCACATTCTCCAACAAAAGAAAGGTCAGCAAGTCCAAAAAGAGGTCTGACTGTCCCACTCCTGGACAAGCCTATGGCAAGTCACCCCAGGTTTGGCTTCCATCCTTCTCCCCCCTGGCCACGCCCAACCAGCATCCATTTCCAGTGTTCTCAGAAAGAAGGGATCCCCTATCCTTCCTAAATAAGTCAGTCCCATAATCCCACAGCCATGTTCAGACCCCCTTGCTCTCTTTCCTCATCTTAGCCCTCAAGGAGCACAGACAAGAGGGTCAGCATCAGCCTTTATTGGGGAAAAGAAGCACCACACACCCACTGCCCAAGCCCAGGGCTGGGTTTCCTACGCTCAGGGCAGCAGCAAGAACAGAAACAGAGCAGAGAGGGCAATGACAGTCCCTGGGGGTGTCACAAGCCCCAGGACATCATCCTCTCCTGGCTACCAGGACAAGCCCCCTGGAGTCACCAGAGAAACTCAGGACACATCAGGACAGCTAGGGCACCGGGCTCTCTGCAAGTAGAAGAAACATCAGGTCACAACTGTGCCCTCCTGGCTCCAGCTCCTCAACATGGTTTTTCCCTTCCACCCTGGAGAAGTTTGGCAAAGATTGCTCTCAAAGGCCTTACATGGCTCCCTGCTTCCCAGACAATCCAGTCTAAGCTGGCATTGAAGACTCTTATCATTCATTGACCAACCTTACATTTTCTGTTCAAAAAACAGCCTGTCTGTTCCCTTACGCACCCTCTCACCACCCCCATCCCAGCTCCCCAAACACGTCACATACATTAGCCCCTCTATGCCTTTGCTGACCGTCACCAGACCACGCATGCAGCATGTTCTCTGGGCTCTCCTCCCTTGGTCACATCCTGCCTAGGTTTTAGGGCCCAGACCAAACCCTACTTCTAGGAGAAGGACCTTCCCAAGGAGCCACACTTATTCTCATCACCTATACGCGCATGCTGCCCATACAAGGGTTCTGATCTGTGACAGAGAATCTTTCTCTCCAACTAGACTCTCCAGGGCAAAAACTGTCTTGCCCTTCTGGAGTCCCCACCCAGCACCTAAGCCAGTGCTCTGTACATAGCAGTTAAGGCCATTGTTATTGATAACAATGGGCTGTACTCACCTAATTCAAAATTAGACCTGATGGTCCGGTTGGGGTTCAGGGCCAGCTGGGCTGGCAGGATTGGTGGGACACAGAAACGGCCACAGCCTGACTTGCAGCACTTTTCCCCAGCTGGGCAGTTCTCATCCACCATGCAGCTGACAATGCACAGGCCCGCCAAAAGTTTTGGACAGTCACCACCCCGCCCTGTGGGATAAACAGGCATAGGTATAGAGACAGGAGGGTTGGCTGCAATGACTCCAAGTTCCCATCTGGGACTTAGAGGCTCCAGATGAATCCATCCCTGATTCTAACTAGATCTTAACCAAAGATCTGGCTGGAAAACCTTGAACTTCAAGGATCCGAGCCCCTGCAGGGCCCCAAGAGAGCATCTGGACTAATGATTTCCGAATGGTGTCCCACAGGGAGTTCCCTAGAGGTACCTTGGGACTTGATACCTCTGTGGGTTTGGGGCTGGGGCTGGGTGGGATGCAGAAGGAGCAAGGCTCCCAGAGCACCACCCTCTCCCCCTATGCTTGGGCTTCCTACTAACACCCACTGCCTTCCTCTAGTTCTTTCAATGCCAACATGGGCCCCTTGGTCCTTGGAGGAGGGTTGCTTTGGGTTGAAGGGCTAGGAGGACTGGAAAGATGAGAACTCTGACTCCTCCCACGAAGAGAAAGAGAAGAAGGCCACAGATGGCTCCCTCCCAAGCCAACCCTGGGACCCCAGGAGCACTCAAGCCTTCCCCAAAGAGCCAACATACCTCCCTTAATGCCTCCATGGCAGGCACGGCCACAGCCGGTGCTGCAGCACTTATGTCCCTGAGGACAGGATGCGTCCCCATCACACAGCTCTTCACACGGAAGGGGGTCGGCAGGACATTCACCGCCAAACTCTGCCATGAAATCAGAGCATTGGGGCCCAGAGGTGTTCAAGCCCAGTGTTTCCAGTTATTTTTATTGGGACTCTGAGTACAAAATACATTTTCCATTGAGTCCCGTGTGTATTTTATACCTATTTATGTGTAAAATGTACATATTTATGTGCATACATGTATATGCAATGCTATACTTTATATTCTATTTCTTTTTTTTTTTTAATGCTGACCACAAAATACTAAATAGCTATCCAGACTCACAGACTGAAAAGCACTGTTGAGGTCTAACACGTTGTGGCAAATGCATTAGCTGCCACCCCCATATTCATCCTCCCTCCTTGCTTACTGTGGTCGACATCAGCACTGCTGGCTGCTGGAGTACGTGCTCTTGGGTAGCCCCCTCCCATACTGTCTCTGGGCTCGACTGGATGACTTGCTTTGACCAACAGGACACCAGCCAAGTATGATGCAAGCAGAGGCTTGAGCAACACTTGCGTACTGGGGCTTGAACACTCCCTCTTGGAAACCAGCCACCGTGCTGCAAAGCACTTGGGCTAGGCTGCGGGATAGTGAGACGCCTCCGGAGAGAGAACCTGGAGGAGGAGAGGCCATCCTGGACATTCCAGCCACCGTGGAACTTGCCAAGGAGCTCCCAGCTGTATGAAGGACCTCAGCTGTGCCACTGGGTATAAGAACTGCCCGGTTAAGCCCAGCCAACCCACAAAGCCACACAACTGTGAGAAAGAATGCACTGTGTTAATGTTGATGACTTCAGGATTGGGGCTTTGGGGAAAAAATAAAAAGAAAGAATGCGCTGCGTTATGTCGCTAAGTTTGGGGATGGTTTGTTAGGTGGCAATAAATAACTGAAGCACTTGTGAATAGAATCCCAGGCTTGTTCTGAGAGGCAGTGAGCCCAGTCAGCTAAAATGATTTGCTTCCCCCATATTCCCTTGTAACTAGGGGTGACCACAAACTAAGATATAAGCTGGGAAAACTTTTGCATTGTTGGTTCAGGGAATACAGCTGTCAAACTGCCCTCTCATTTCCTTCTTCTTCCAGTCCAAAGACAGACAAGGAATCAGAGCAGCCTTCTTGTAACCAGGAGGCACCCAGTATGAAGACAAAGTCAAGAACTGCAAAGGAGAGAGAGAGAAATTGCTTCATCGTGGAGCCACCACACCAGCCCTGGCGCTGACTTCAGGACTTCTTGTTATGTGAGAAAGAAGAATCCCTGTTGGTTTCATTTTCTGCTTCATGTAGCCAAACACATTCTTGATGTGCCCTTTCACAGCCCCTAAGAAGATAATGAAACTCAGAGGAGAGAAGGGGTTGGCCCAGAACTGCAGAGTGAGTCAGCGGCAAAGCAGGACAAAACTCAGCTTCTCGGTTTGCAATGAAGCACTCTTTCTACTACACCATCCTTAAGACATGTGGGCAACAGGCCAGGTCCACGGGGACAGGCACACCCAAGAAGTCACATCCAAACCAAACCCACTCATCATGACTCATTCCTCTCAGTGTTTATTTCAAGTCTTTTAAATGGAGGGGAAAATGACAGGCAATTCAAGCTTTGTAGAAAACCATGACAGGACTGGCCCAGTGCCTCTGAGAACGAACATGTACATACAATTGGACACAGCTGGCTCCGGGGACTCTGACATGATGGAAAAAGCAAGTGTTGGACTCCAAGAGAATACATGCAGCTAAACAATCAAGGTATAATAACCTGGCATCCTAGGATTTTTCGGAATAGCCCCTATTTCAAGTATTTTTTGCCATTGTCCGCTTGTGTCACAACTATGTGTCTTGATACTTTTTATCCAGAAAATATGGTCACTGTAACGACCAGATGTATCTCCCCACACCTTCCCACCCGTCTGACAAACACTAAAATCCATTTAACAAGGAGCAAAGCCTTTTGCCCCACGGTTGAGAAGGCTGGGCATAAAAAAATCTCCCTGGTAGGGAAAAACACAGCAACATAAACTCACCAAGTCATACCGTGTGCCCTAGCGTGGAGGCCTAGAATACCACACTTCCCAGATTTCACCATTTTTCCGGGCCCGGCTCTGAAGTAACCAGTGCCAGGAGCACCCTGCTACCTCTGCCCTCAGCCTCAGGACCAGGCATAGGGACCAAAGCCCTACCCTCTCCCAGGCCAGGCTTCCTTGAGGTCCCTGGGGTTTTGTCAAATACTAGAAGCAATGAAGGGACCCTTGGAAGATAGGCTGAAGCCCTGAGGGTCACAGCACATCCCCTCGGACCAGTGCCCAGCAGAGCCACCTAGTCTAATACCCTATCTGATGCTTGAATCCCTGCCAAACAGTCCCCTACTCTCAGCTTCAACAGCGGGAATTAAGGGGGCTTCAATACCTCCAAGCCAGACTACGCCATCCTTATACTTAAGCTAGACAGCCTTAGGTATAAGGAAGTCCTTCTTTATACTCAACCGAAATCTGTTTCTATCCATTGGTCCTTTTCCTATCCCCAGAGACCTGGCAAAAACATGGCTCATGCCATCTCTTTAGCCATCTTCTGCCTTTCACTGTCTTAGCTTTGCCAGGCTAGGTAAGCTCAGTTCCTCATAACACATGGTTTCCAGTCACCTCACAGGTATCTTAGCAGGAATCAGGATGAGAAGTGGGAATGATAGCCAGAACGGGGATGGTCATCCCTAGCCTCCAGATATGCCCCTATCCCAAGATCCCAAGCTATCACCAGAAAAGTAGAATAAAAAGCTGAAGCCTAGTAAACACTCACACTTAGTCTTTACCGTTGCCCCAGCTCCAACCTTCCACTAGGGAAGAATACCAGCTGCTGGCAGAAAAGTGAAATTTCAAAACTTCTTAAGCCAAGAAGGGCCCTCTGAGCCTTCAAACCTACTCCTCTTCTCTTGTAAATAGACAGACACCCAGAAGGGGGAAGGATTGGCCTGAGGTCAATGGTCGCAGAATTGGGTCCCAAACCCCCAGCTCTGACACTAGGTCCAGTGCCCTTGAACCCACATCATGGTGATCCCCTGCACTCCGCAACGATCACCCAAAACCAAATCACCAAGCACTGCGACTCGGCTCAGTTCTGCCAAAAGACCCAGTGGTAGACAGTTTCAGGGGTTAGGAAAACTTATAAATAAACTAGTGTGTCTGGAACCCCCAAGACCACTCCTAGTTTTGGTGATTCTCTAGGACTCACAGGACTCAGCATACAGTTGTAACCATGGCCATGATTTACGACAGCACAAAAATACAAAGCAAAATCGTCAAAGGGAAGAGGTGCACGAGGTGAAGTCCAGAGGAAGCCAGGCGCAAGCTTCCAACAGTCCTCTCCCAGGGGAGTCACACAGGATGACTTCATTCCTCCAGTATGGAATTGTGACGGTACATGTGAAGTGGTATCTACCAGGGAAGCTCACTGGAGGCTTAGGGTTCTTCCTGGGGTCTGGTCACGTGGGTGCTCTCTGCCTAGCTCATACCACTCTTATTAGTTACGGTGGCAGGAACCGTCTCAAAATCCAAATTCCCAGAAGCCCACCAAGGCCAATCTTGTGAGCAGGCCTTTCTGAGAATATCAGTCTTGGGCCTGCTGTGTCAACTCTTAGCTGTACAACCAGCAGTGAGGTTTCAGAAAAAGGGGACCCAAACACACAGGGAGCCCATGCCATCAATGCATACGAAGGATAGAATGTACATGTCGTGGGACTTCCCTGGTGGCGCAGTGGTTATGACTCTGTGCTCCAGGGCTTCCCTGGTAGCTCAGTGGTTAAGAATCTGCCTGCCAATGAAGGGGATGCGAGTTTGAGCCCTGGTCCAGGAAGATCCCACATGCCACGGAGCAACTACGCCCACACGCCACAACTACTGAGCCTGCGCTCTAGAGCCCGCACTCCGCAACAAGAGAAGCCACTGCAATGAGAAGCCCGCGCACCGCAAGGAAGAGTAGGCCCCGCTCGCCACAACTAGAGAAAGCCCACATGCAGCAATGAAGACCCAATGCAGCCAAAAATAAATAAATAAATAATTAATAAATTTATTTAAAAAGACTCCACACTCCCAGTGCAGGGGGCCCCGGTTTGATCCCTGGTCTGGGAACTAGATCCCACATACATGCCGCAACTAAGAGTTTGCATGCCACAACTAAGGATCTGGCAAGCCACAACTAAGCAGCCCGCCGGCCACAACTAAGACCCAACACAGCGAAATAAATAAGTAAATAAATAATAAATGTTTTTAAATAATAATAATAATGCACATGTCATAATAAGCAAAACAGAGGGTCACGGGGGATCAGGAGGGTTCAACTTTCATGCGGTGGAAGGCGGGCCATGAGGGAGCCAGAGGGGACAACTCTTAGGCCATAATCTGAATCTTCACTCCAAAACCTCCTCCTCCTCCTCCCAAAGTTGTCCCCTTCTCAGTAAAGACCACCACCATCACCCAACAGCTCCAGCCAGACACTCACCACCCTTTTTGACACTTCCTTTTCCTCAACACCCACATCTGCTAACTTCTTTCCCCGGGCCTGTCAGCTTCACCCTCAAAAGTACTTCAAGTCTGCCACTCTTCCAGGTCTGCACTGTCACCACCCCGGTCTGAGCCATGATCACCACCAACCCAGCCTGGCATATTGGCCTCTCAACTGGCCTTCCATCTTCTACATTCGCCCCATCCATTCTTCAGACACCAGCAGAGTAGCCTTTTTAAAATGAAAACCGGATCAGGCCTCTCCTGCTTTTATAGCCCCCTTTAAAGGCCTCCCATTGCACTTACAATAAAGCCTTAGACAGAGGCCCCGGAGACTCCCCCAAAGCCTGGACTCTGCCTCAACTGGAACCACCTTCCTTCACCATCTCTTTCCTCCAGCCACACTGACCTTTCCCCTCCTTAAAATAGTAAGCCCTGCCCTACTCTACTGCTTTTGCCCCTGCAGTTCCCTCTTCATAGCACTCCACCCAATGGCCAGCTCCTTCTCGTTCTCCAACTTAAAATGACACCTCCTCTTTCCCTCTCTTTTCTTTCCCTTCATTGCACTCATCACGACTGGTGGTTATTATTGCTCGTTTATGATTATTTACTGTGTCTCACATCAGAGGGTGAGCTCCATGAGAGCAAGGGCCATGGCTACCATGCTCACCCCAGGATGCCCAAATGCCAGGTAGGGTAGACACTCAATATGTATTGAATCCATTTATAAGTGAGCAAGTGAATAGACAGGCCAGACCTCAGACAGTTGGGAGGGAACCTGAACAGCAAGGTGCTGGGCATAACTATATGAGCTGTCAGGTATTATTTGGCAGGTTTTGTACAAGTTTCTTATGTGCATTTCTTCTCAACTGCATGTTGTAGACTGAATATTTGTATTCTCCGAAAATTCATATGTTGAAACCTAATCTCCAAAGTGAGGGTATTTGGAAGTGGGGTCTTTGGGAGGTGCTTAAGTCAGGAGACTGGAGTCCTCATGAATACTAGTGGCCCTTACTGCCCTTCTGCCACGTGAGGTCACAGCAAAAAGACGGCAGGCTACAAACCAGGAAGCAGGCCCTCCCAGACACTGAACCTGCTGGACCTTGATCTTGGCCTTCCCAGCCTCCAGAATTGTAAGAAATAAATTTCTGTTGTTTATAAGCCACCCAGTCTATGGTATTCTGTTATAGCAGCCCAAATGGACACTGCATTATCACTCTATGAGATAAATACCCTTATCTCCATTTTAAGGATGATAAAAATGAGGTTCAAAGAGATGAAAGGACTTGTCCAAGGCCACAGAGCCAGCAAGCAGAGGAGCCCGGTTCAGACCCATGCTCAGACCCGAACTGCCTCAGGGGAGCAGGTCCCAGGGTCTGTCCTGTGCCCTCAGACACCCTGACATTCCTCCAAGTTACCAAACAGACAGGACAGGCTATGGTAAGCTTCTGGCAAATCAGAGCTTAATGAAAGTAGAGATTATTCATAGCCCAGGAAGGGGAATTCCCTGTGCAGTGGGCTGTAGCAACGAGTCCCGCTGGGTGAGTGGGCCAGCCCTCCTCCAGGACTGGAACTGTAGAAAAGTAGTTAGCTAATATCCCAGCAGAAATATTACTTCCCACCAGACGAGGAACCCCACTCAGCCAGTGGGCTCTGGGAGAGGTGCAGAGAGATCACTACTCTAACCTGCCAAGCTCCAAGGAAAGAGGAAGCCCCATCTGGGCTGGCCAGGGCCCAGGGCAGCTCACCAAGCTGCCTCGCCTGGCTGCCGGCCTCACCCTCAGCCCCCGCAATTCAGCCATCACCTTCAAACACTGCGAAGATTGTATCAGGCCTGACAAGTTGACAGTGAGTGACCTGCGTGAGACAGATTCCCAGGCTCTGGTTCCAGAGCTGGCCCTCCAGAGTCCTGGCAAAGAGTACAACACTCTATTCTCCCTTACGGGCAGGCTGCCCAAGGGAGCTGCTGAAGCCAGGCGCAGACAACGCCACTGGGTACAGGGAAGGGGCCTGCTACCTGGGGAGGTTTGGCTGGAAGGAGGCCAGCCTTAACAGGAACCCTGAGTTCAAAGTATAAGATGCAGATAATCAATGGCCTGTTCTCTCCTGACAGAAGGCAAAGAACTGGGGACACGAGTGATTAAAGGAGAAGAGACCCCCCAAAAGGGGAAAAAAAGAGGTGAGCTAAATTTCAAGAGCCAACCTAGGAGATAGGAAGCTCTCTGGCTCTATCTAGCCCAGAGGCAAGATCGGAAAGGGGACTTGGATTTCGCCTCTCAAGCCAACATACCCTTAGGGATGCCTCCTCGACAGAGCCGACCACAGCCTGCGCTGCAGTGCTTCTGCCTAGCCAGACAGGATTCATCCTCCCAGTATGGCTCTTTGCATGGGTTCTTATTGCGAGGGCATTTTCCTTCTTTCACTGCAAAAGTTATCACTTGAGATCGGAGCAACTGGCGAGGCCTCAAGAAACAGGGAATGGAAGCCAAATGTACTTCGGGGACTTTTAGTCTCTCCAAAATTCCTGTCAAAAATATTTCTGGGGCTTCCCTGGTTGCACAGTGGTTAAGAATTCGCCTGCCAATGCAGGGGACACAGGTTCGATCCCTGGTCCAGGAAGATCCCACATGCCGCAGAGCAACTAAGCCCATGCGCCACAACTACTGAGCTGGCGCTCTAGAGCCCGCAAGCCACAACTACTGAGCCCGCGAGCCTAGAGCCCGTGCTCCGCAGCAAGAGAAGCCACTGCAGTGAGAAGCCCGTGCACCACAACGAAGAGTAGACCCTGCTCGCCGCAACTAGAGAAAGCCCACGCGCAGCAATGAAGATCCAACGCAGCCAAAAATAAATTAATTAAATAAATAAATAAATTCAAAACAAAATATTTCTGCAACCACTTTCCCCTTCTCCCACACAGCTGCTAACATGCACCCAGCACCACACATGGACCAGCCACTCTGCAGAGAGAGAGACAGAAAGCTTGGGGCAATCCTATTCTCACCCTAGGGTGAGAGCCCTCGGGAAAAGCTAGAACCTCTAGTAAGCCAGACTGGAAGTGCTATCTCCTTGTCCAGAGAGGACAGAGAAAGCCAGGAAGACCTATCTTGGCTGTCCCAAGAATCTATGCGTCCAGTTCTGTTCTACAGAGAAGACCATCTCCCCAGATGAGGACCCTCACTCTGGGAGGAGGCAGGGGATGACTTCTCTAGTCGTTTTCTATTGCTGTTAGCCAGGGATCCCAAATGATAGCTCACCATGCTCTCCTGCAGTCACCCAGGATGCCACGGACCCAAGAGCAAGAAGTGCCTTCAGGAGGAAGAGGCAGCTCGACATGATGATGATGCTGAGGGTAGAGATGAGAACTCAGTTCAGGCCAGACGTGTACACCTTGCCTTGTATCAATACATCAACCGAGGGAAGGGCAAGACTAGGGGATTGGTCTAAGGCCAGCCACAAAGTTTTCCCTTTCGCAATAATCCCCAGCGATGTCTTCTCCTGACAAGAAGAAAAGTGACTGGTTGCTGGTGTGTGGGAAAATTCCTGGCACTACCAAAAGACACACGTGATGGAAATGATCAAACTCTGCAGTATACACAACATCCCTGGACAATAATGACGAATCTAATGGGCAGCTGAGGAAATGGAGGGATGGCCACTGGATAAAGGATCAAAGAGAGCCCTAGAGGGTTTTGGAAGGACACAGCTACAGCTGTAATGAGAGAGGAAAGGACTAGAGACACAACTAAAGAAAAGAGCCAAAGCTAATAAAATGCACTGTGGCTCCTGTCCATCCTAGCAACCTAGAAAACAGAGAATGGAACAGACTGCTTAGAAACTATCCAAAAACTACAGAAAAGCAGTGTTTAGATTTGTTCAGAACTAATATAAATGCACCAAAAACCTACATCTTGGTCCCTCTAGCCCATACAGGGTATTATTGGACTATATGAAGGTTAGTCAACAAAACCCAAAAGAACAGTTGCTATGACTCAAGTAGTAACCTAGGTCATATATACTCCCTTTCTTTATCTCTTCTTCCTATATTTCTTTTTATTTATTTTTTAATCTATTCCTTTGGTCAACCATGATACCTAACAGCAATACCTATTGGCATTGCTTAGCCTAACCTAATAAGGTTAAAGGGTAAAAACCTCCTTAATAGGGACAAAGAGTTTGGTGCCAGAAAGTCGCCTTATTGTTTTAAGGCTGATATTGGAGCGTGGAGATAATTAACATTTATTGATGACCTAACATGTGTTTTATACACATTATTTATTTTATGCCTCACAATAATCTTGCAGAAGTAAGAAAACTAGTTCAGAGGGAAAATTAGCCAAGGTCATTAAGCTAGTAAGTGGTGGCTGCTGGAATTTAATAATAGTAATGACAGATAACATTGTTTGAGGGTTTACTACTGCCAAGGTTCTAAGTACTTTACATGAATTAACTCACTTAATTCTCATTGCAACCCTATGAGTTAGGTACTATTATCCCCATTCTACACATGGGGAAACTGAGGCACAGAAAGAAATGTGGGTCACAGCTAATAAGTAGTAGAACAAAGGTAAGCAGTCCAATCCCATAGTCAGTGTTAACCACCATATCATAATGGATTTGAACTCAGATCTTTCTAACTGCAAAACTCATGCACCTTCTACTACCCCGTATTATGACCTGATAAAAGTAATTTTATCTACCACCCATAAGTAGATCCAATTCTATTCATGGACGTCTTACCTCTAATGCAGAGCTAAAGGGGCTCTGGGGAACTCCACAGCTGTTAAATCCCTGCATCCCCAGCCCATCCCAGTATCACGCATCTGGGGAGAGAAGCCCAGAATCTTCATTCAGATGCCTTCAGACGCCAAGAGGCAATCCCTGGGGTCAAGGCCTGGAGAGACCACTGGGTGAGTGGGATGGCATGGGCCAGACCCCCTCTTGCTGGGTTTCGGGGTCCTCGCATTGGGCCCATCCAATTCCGGGGGCTGAGTGCTAGGCATATTAAAATCTAGTTTTCCAGAGACAACTGCAGACGCCTCGGTACCAAACGCTGCCCTCCGCTCCCCAACACCAGCCCGAGGAAACCTGCTCCCCTCCTCCTGACCCGCACTTCTCCACGGGCCTTGGTCCGGCCAGAGAAAGATCCTTGACTGAACACCCACAGCTTACACCCGAGGCGCGGCCGCTCCCGAGAGGGAGCCTGGTCAACCTACCACAGGGCCTCTAAGCGTCTGGGACCCGTTGAGACGCGGCGGCTCGGTTCCCCTGGTAACCCTGCCGCTCGCTGCGTCGCGCTTCCGGAGACTGCGGGCGGCGCGCTCCAATGACGTCACGGGGAGACTTTCCGGCCGGTGACAGAGTTGGGCTGAACTTGTGGGGACCAGGGGCGCCATGGGGGCCACTGGAGACGCTGAGCAGCCGCGGGGACCCGGCGGGGCAGAGCGGGGCGGACCCGAGCTGGGAGACGCGGGCGCAGCGGGGCAGCTGGTTCTCACGGTGAGGGCGCCCCCGGGGAAGCCCCGGCCAGGCCTGGGCTCGGGCCCGACAGGGCCTCGGGCTGCCGGGACCCTGGCCCGTGGGCGAGAGAACGAGGCGGCTGGTGCTGCGGAGGGGTTGTGGTTGTCGAAGTCCGACGACCCGGCTTCATATTCTGGTGCCGCCCCCCCAGCTAGGTGACGTAGGCCGGCCCTGCCAAGCCCCTGAGCGCCAGTTTTCTCAAAAATGGAGATGATTAGGCCCTGCCTCGTAAAGTTGTTGTGGGAAAGGATATAAATGCGGGTAAAGCTCCCAGCGCATCATCTGGCACAGAGTAGCCCCTCGGTGGACACTGATTCCTTTCCTCCATCCGTTCCTGAAAAAGTGGGGTTGGGACTTGGGGGCAGGAAGCTTTATCTCGGTTCCTCTTCCCTGGCAGGACCTTCCAACCACTGCCCTCCCCCCTACCCCAAGCGGGGAGAGACGGTGAAAGCACCTGAGAAGCAGGGATGTCTAGGTATAACTTAATACCCACCCTCCACCTCCACCCCAGCGTCACGGACCTCGGTGACATCTGCTCCCTTGGTCTCCACAGAACCCTTGGAACATAATGATAAAGCACCGGCAGGTACAGCGGAGGGGCCGCCGCTCACAGATGACAACAAGGTAAGGCTGGCCTTGGGTGGGACTTCCCCTCCCAGGCACTGGCTTGGGAGGCAGCTTTTGGGCCCCCACTGCACAGAGCTGAGAAAGAGATCATCGGCCAATAGAAAGAGGAGATTCAGATTCTGTAACTCTGTGTGACCTTGAGCAAGTCATTTCCCTTCTGAACTCAAAAGAGGGGGCATGTTGATTCAGCAGTGCCCAAGGTCCCTAACATTCACAGGCTCTGTGTTTGAAGGCTCCAAAGAGGCAGGATAGCATGGAAGTTAAAAAAATGTGGGGCTAATAGTATCCATCTCAGGGAAGGGAGAGAGCGCAAGATGGGTCTTTGGGATGCTGGTTATATATGTTTCTTGACCTGAGTAGCGATTAAAAGGATGTTCACTAAAACTGTTTGTTAAAGTGTATAGACTTTTTCTGTGTTAAGTATTATACCTCTATAACACTTTAAAAATAATGCCATTCCATAGAGTTATGAGTATGAAATAAAGTCCTGCATCTATGTGGTTTGCAGAGCACCAGGGCACGTGGCTAGTTTTCTGTAAAAGCCATATGTTATTGTCATTAAAGGGTCCTATCTCAATAATTGGCTGGGCAGAGTAGGAAAGGATATGTTTGGGACATGCCTCCTGACTGTGTCTCCTTCCTGAATGCAGTTTCACAGATCCTGCCATCTCCATGGATCTCCTCCGAGCTGTCCTGCAGCCTAGCATCAATGAGGAGATCCAGACTGTCTTCAACAAGTACATGAAGGTGAGAAGGACACAAAGATAAAAAATTAACAGGAATAAAGACTCATGGGCAGTCCTTGCCTGCATCACAGTCTCTCTTTCTAGTACACACAGATAATCAAAAGTTTTCCAATTCTGAACCCCCCAAGAATGTTTTTCCTCTTTGGGGGTAATTTGAATTCCTCTTCTTGTTACCAAACCAAACTCGGGTCTTACTGCTTGCCCACGTGCAGTGAAGCCAATCTACTGTCCCTGGGTTGTGGTGAAGGAAAGTGCAGCGTTTATTGCAGGGCACCAAGCAAGGAGTCCAGGACAGCTAGTGCTCAAAACACCCAAAGTCCCCGATGGGTTTCAGCAAAGCATTTTTTTTTTTTCTTTTGCGGTATGCGGGCCTCTCACTGCCGTTGCGGAGCACAGGCTCCGGACGCGCAGGCTCAGCAGCCATGGCTCACGGGCCCAGCCGCTCTGTGGCATGTGGGATCCTCCTGGACCAGGGCACGAACCCGTGTCCCCTGCATCGGCAGGCGGACTCTCAACCACTGCACCACCAGGGAAGCCCAGGACTGGACTCTTGTTTTTATTCCTAAACCTTCTCCTCTTGTGTTTATTCATTCATTCAAAAAGTATTTACTGAGCACCTACCATAATGCAAGCACTATGCTAGGCACTTAGGGATGTAGCAGTGAATAAAATGGACAGTGTCCTTACCCTCTTTGAATAAATGTGTACTTTGTCAGGGAATGCCAGAGAGAACGGGAAGAGAGTGACCTATAGGGAACAGGGATGCTATTTCATAACTTGTGACTAGGAAAGCCCTCTGATAAGAGGACATTTGAGCAGAGACCCAAATAAAGTGAGGAAAGAACAAGTCGTGCAGATACCTGGAGGGAAAGCAACCCAGGCAGAGGGAACAAGGGCAGAGGACCTGAGGCAGAAGCATGCTTGGCACATTCAAAGCAACAGAGTGGCTGGAGCCAGCAGAGCCGGAAGGAGAGGAGAAGGAGAGGTGACCAGACAGTTTGTGCCCCGGTCCGGGAAGATCCCACATGCCGCGGAGCGGCTAGGCCCGTGAGCCATGGCTGCTGAGCCTGCGCGTCTGGAGCCTGTGCTCCGCGACGGGAGAGGCCACAACAGTGAGAGGCCCACATACCACAAAAAAAAAAAAAAAGTTGGGAATTACAAAAGCATTTCTGCAATATTCAACATGAGCAGGGATACCATTTGTTTTTTCTTGTTACAAAAGCCCTGCCTACTTAGAAATTTCTGTCCGAATTTTAAATTCATATGTCCTTTGACCCAGTATGGTACACACAGTTTATTACCTACCTATCCCAAAAGCATTCCCTCCTTTCTTCTTGCTAATAGAAGCTCGATTATTTTTTTAATTCTCAGCGTTTTTTTTTAAGTTGTGTATTTTATTTTATTTTATTTTATTATTTTTTTGGCTGCATTGGGTCTTCGTTGCTGCAGGTGGGCTTTCTCTCGTTGTGGCGAGTGGGGGCTACTCTTCGTTGCAGTGCACAGGCCTCTCATTGCAGTGGCTTCTCTTGTTGCGGAGCACGGGCGCTAGGCACTCGGGCTTCAGTAACTGCAGCACACAGGCTCAGTAGTTGCAGCATGCAGGCCCTAGAGCACGCGGGCTTCAGTAATTGGGGCACATGGGCCCAGTAGTTGTGCCTCGCGGGCTCTAGAGCACAGGCTCAGTAGTTGTGGCACACGGGCTTAGTTACTCCTCAGCATGTGGGATCTTCCCAGAACAGGGATCAAACCCGCATCCCCTGCATTGACAGGCGGATTCTTAACCACTGTGCCACCAGGGAAGTCCCATCAAATTTTTTTTTTTTTGGAAGTATAGTTGATTTACAAGGTTGTGTTAATTTCTGCTGTACAGCAAAGTGATTCATTTATATATATCTACATTCTTTTTCATATTCTTTTCCATTATGATTTATCACAGGATATTGAATATAGCTCCTTGTGCTATACAGTAGAACCTTGTTGTTTATCCGTTTAGAACCTCGATTTTTATAGCCACGTGGTCACCTGCCTCAGCCTCAGGGATGAAACAGGATTAATTTAAGATCTTAGGTCACTTTCCCATTAGCGTTTGCAGACATTTGCTTTCCAGGCCTTCCTTGCAGCTCCAGCCAATGAGATGACAAGGGAAACCTGGGAAGACTGTGGCTTCTGGGGAAGCCACTCTCCATCAAGAAAAAGAGAGCATGGTTTGCTGTAAAGGTCTTTTCACCACTGCCCTCTACACACAACTTCCTGTTGTGACATCTAGAGCTGCAGCAACCATCCCACACCCATGAGGTGACCGGCACAAGAACAAAAGCCAACACACTGAGGATGATGGAGACGGAAGAAATGACTTTGGCCATCAGTGTTTCGGTCCAGCTGCTGAACCAGCCTCACTGCCTCTCTCCAGACTCTGACGTGAGAAAATTAAATGTCTTTATTGGCTAAGCCACTATTAGTTAGGTTTTCTATTAACTGCAACCCAACAAACTCCTAATGGGATAGACTTGGGAATTACATTCATTCTTTCACTCATTCAACAAATATTTACTGAGAGCTTGTTCTTTGCCAGGCTCTATTTAAGAAACTAGAATTCTACTACTAAGAATTTACCCAGATTTATCTGCAAAAGTAGGCCACGATTTTTATATGTGAAAAAATGTTAATGTCCAACAAGAGGTAACTGGTTAGTTATTTTCATGGAGCTGTATTAAAAGAATGTATGTGATGGCATAAAGGATCTCCAAGATATAGAATATATTTTTTGTCTACATAAAAAATATATATTTTAAAAATTATCTTGGTCCCAAGAACCTAAAGACATCCCTCCCTACAGCAAAGCTACCTGGAGGGGACAAAACACCTGTCTTGGAGCCAAGGGCTGGCCCCCAAGGAAGGTGAGCCAAGGTGGGACCATCCAAGCGACTCAAAGAACTAGCCACTCACCCCAGTTCCATTCCCCAACTCACATTCTCCAACAAAAGAAAGGTCAGCAAGTCCAAAAAGAGGTCTGACTGTCCCACTCCTGGACAAGCCTATGGCAAGTCACCCCAGGTTTGGCTTCCATCCTTCTCCCCCCTGGCCACGCCCAACCAGCATCCATTTCCAGTGTTCTCAGAAAGAAGGGATCCCCTATCCTTCCTAAATAAGTCAGTCCCATAATCCCACAGCCATGTTCAGACCCCCTTGCTCTCTTTCCTCATCTTAGCCCTCAAGGAGCACAGACAAGAGGGTCAGCATCAGCCTTTATTGGGGAAAAGAAGCACCACACACCCACTGCCCAAGCCCAGGGCTGGGTTTCCTACGCTCAGGGCAGCAGCAAGAACAGAAACAGAGCAGAGAGGGCAATGACAGTCCCTGGGGGTGTCACAAGCCCCAGGACATCATCCTCTCCTGGCTACCAGGACAAGCCCCCTGGAGTCACCAGAGAAACTCAGGACACATCAGGACAGCTAGGGCACCGGGCTCTCTGCAAGTAGAAGAAACATCAGGTCACAACTGTGCCCTCCTGGCTCCAGCTCCTCAACATGGTTTTTCCCTTCCACCCTGGAGAAGTTTGGCAAAGATTGCTCTCAAAGGCCTTACATGGCTCCCTGCTTCCCAGACAATCCAGTCTAAGCTGGCATTGAAGACTCTTATCATTCATTGACCAACCTTACATTTTCTGTTCAAAAAACAGCCTGTCTGTTCCCTTACGCACCCTCTCACCACCCCCATCCCAGCTCCCCAAACACGTCACATACATTAGCCCCTCTATGCCTTTGCTGACCGTCACCAGACCACGCATGCAGCATGTTCTCTGGGCTCTCCTCCCTTGGTCACATCCTGCCTAGGTTTTAGGGCCCAGACCAAACCCTACTTCTAGGAGAAGGACCTTCCCAAGGAGCCACACTTATTCTCATCACCTATACGCGCATGCTGCCCATACAAGGGTTCTGATCTGTGACAGAGAATCTTTCTCTCCAGCTAGACTCTCCAGGGCAAAAACTGTCTTGCCCTTCTGGAGTCCCCACCCAGCACCTAAGCCAGTGCTCTGTACATAGCAGTTAAGGCCATTGTTATTGATAACAATGGGCTGTACTCACCTAATTCAAAATTAGACCTGATGGTCCGGTTGGGGTTCAGGGCCAGCTGGGCTGGCAGGATTGGTGGGACACAGAAACGGCCACAGCCTGACTTGCAGCACTTTTCCCCAGCTGGGCAGTTCTCATCCACCATGCAGCTGACAATGCACAGGCCCGCCAAAAGTTTTGGACAGTCACCACCCCGCCCTGTGGGATAAACAGGCATAGGTATAGAGACAGGAGGGTTGGCTGCAATGACTCCAAGTTCCCATCTGGGACTTAGAGGCTCCAGATGAATCCATCCCTGATTCTAACTAGATCTTAACCAAAGATCTGGCTGGAAAACCTTGAACTTCAAGGATCCGAGCCCCTGCAGGGCCCCAAGAGAGCATCTGGACTAATGATTTCCGAATGGTGTCCCACAGGGAGTTCCCTAGAGGTACCTTGGGACTTGATACCTCTGTGGGTTTGGGGCTGGGGCTGGGTGGGATGCAGAAGGAGCAAGGCTCCCAGAGCACCACCCTCTCCCCCTATGCTTGGGCTTCCTACTAACACCCACTGCCTTCCTCTAGTTCTTTCAATGCCAACATGGGCCCCTTGGTCCTTGGAGGAGGGCTGCTTTGGGTTGAAGGGCTAGGAGGACTGGAAAGATGAGAACTCTGACTCCTCCCACGAAGAGAAAGAGAAGAAGGCCACAGATGGCTCCCTCCCAAGCCAACCCTGGGACCCCAGGAGCACTCAAGCCTTCCCCAAAGAGCCAACATACCTCCCTTAATGCCTCCATGGCAGGCACGGCCACAGCCGGTGCTGCAGCACTTATGTCCCTGAGGACAGGATGCGTCCCCATCACACAGCTCTTCACACGGAAGGGGGTCGGCAGGACATTCACCGCCAAACTCTGCCATGAAATCAGAGCATTGGGGCCCAGAGGTGTTCAAGCCCAGTGTTTCCAGTTATTTTTATTGGGACTCTGAGTACAAAATACATTTTCCATTGAGTCCCGTGTGTATTTTATACCTATTTATGTGTAAAATGTACATATTTATGTGCATACATGTATATGCAATGCTATACTTTATATTCTATTTCTTTTTTTTTTTTAATGCTGACCACAAAATACTAAATAGCTATCCAGACTCACAGACTGAAAAGCACTGTTGAGGTCTAACACGTTGTGGCAAATGCATTAGCTGCCACCCCCATATTCATCCTCCCTCCTTGCTTACTGTGGTCGACATCAGCACTGCTGGCTGCTGGAGTACGTGCTCTTGGGTAGCCCCCTCCCATACTGTCTCTGGGCTCGACTGGATGACTTGCTTTGACCAACAGGACACCAGCCAAGTATGATGCAAGCAGAGGCTTGAGCAACACTTGCGTACTGGGGCTTGAACACTCCCTCTTGGAAACCAGCCACCGTGCTGCAAAGCACTTGGGCTAGGCTGCGGGATAGTGAGACGCCTCCGGAGAGAGAACCTGGAGGAGGAGAGGCCATCCTGGACATTCCAGCCACCGTGGAACTTGCCAAGGAGCTCCCAGCTGTATGAAGGACCTCAGCTGTGCCACTGGGTATAAGAACTGCCCGGTTAAGCCCAGCCAACCCACAAAGCCACACAACTGTGAGAAAGAATGCACTGTGTTAATGTTGATGACTTCAGGATTGGGGCTTTGGGGAAAAAATAAAAAGAAAGAATGCGCTGCGTTATGTCGCTAAGTTTGGGGATGGTTTGTTAGGTGGCAATAAATAACTGAAGCACTTGTGAATAGAATCCCAGGCTTGTTCTGAGAGGCAGTGAGCCCAGTCAGCTAAAATGATTTGCTTCCCCCATATTCCCTTGTAACTAGGGGTGACCACAAACTAAGATATAAGCTGGGAAAACTTTTGCATTGTTGGTTCAGGGAATACAGCTGTCAAACTGCCCTCTCATTTCCTTCTTCTTCCAGTCCAAAGACAGACAAGGAATCAGAGCAGCCTTCTTGTAACCAGGAGGCACCCAGTATGAAGACAAAGTCAAGAACTGCAAAGGAGAGAGAGAGAAATTGCTTCATCGTGGAGCCACCACACCAGCCCTGGCGCTGACTTCAGGACTTCTTGTTATGTGAGAAAGAAGAATCCCTGTTGGTTTCATTTTCTGCTTCATGTAGCCAAACACATTCTTGATGTGCCCTTTCACAGCCCCTAAGAAGATAATGAAACTCAGAGGAGAGAAGGGGTTGGCCCAGAACTGCAGAGTGAGTCAGCGGCAAAGCAGGACAAAACTCAGCTTCTCGGTTTGCAATGAAGCACTCTTTCTACTACACCATCCTTAAGACATGTGGGCAACAGGCCAGGTCCACGGGGACAGGCACACCCAAGAAGTCACATCCAAACCAAACCCACTCATCATGACTCATTCCTCTCAGTGTTTATTTCAAGTCTTTTAAATGGAGGGGAAAATGACAGGCAATTCAAGCTTTGTAGAAAACCATGACAGGACTGGCCCAGTGCCTCTGAGAACGAACATGTACATACAATTGGACACAGCTGGCTCCGGGGACTCTGACATGATGGAAAAAGCAAGTGTTGGACTCCAAGAGAATACATGCAGCTAAACAATCAAGGTATAATAACCTGGCATCCTAGGATTTTTCGGAATAGCCCCTATTTCAAGTATTTTTTGCCATTGTCCGCTTGTGTCACAACTATGTGTCTTGATACTTTTTATCCAGAAAATATGGTCACTGTAACGACCAGATGTATCTCCCCACACCTTCCCACCCGTCTGACAAACACTAAAATCCATTTAACAAGGAGCAAAGCCTTTTGCCCCACGGTTGAGAAGGCTGGGCATAAAAAAATCTCCCTGGTAGGGAAAAACACAGCAACATAAACTCACCAAGTCATACCGTGTGCCCTAGCGTGGAGGCCTAGAATACCACACTTCCCAGATTTCACCATTTTTCCGGGCCCGGCTCTGAAGTAACCAGTGCCAGGAGCACCCTGCTACCTCTGCCCTCAGCCTCAGGACCAGGCATAGGGACCAAAGCCCTACCCTCTCCCAGGCCAGGCTTCCTTGAGGTCCCTGGGGTTTTGTCAAATACTAGAAGCAATGAAGGGACCCTTGGAAGATAGGCTGAAGCCCTGAGGGTCACAGCACATCCCCTCGGACCAGTGCCCAGCAGAGCCACCTAGTCTAATACCCTATCTGATGCTTGAATCCCTGCCAAACAGTCCCCTACTCTCAGCTTCAACAGCGGGAATTAAGGGGGCTTCAATACCTCCAAGCCAGACTACGCCATCCTTATACTTAAGCTAGACAGCCTTAGGTATAAGGAAGTCCTTCTTTATACTCAACCGAAATCTGTTTCTATCCATTGGTCCTTTTCCTATCCCCAGAGACCTGGCAAAAACATGGCTCATGCCATCTCTTTAGCCATCTTCTGCCTTTCACTGTCTTAGCTTTGCCAGGCTAGGTAAGCTCAGTTCCTCATAACACATGGTTTCCAGTCACCTCACAGGTATCTTAGCAGGAATCAGGATGAGAAGTGGGAATGATAGCCAGAACGGGGATGGTCATCCCTAGCCTCCAGATATGCCCCTATCCCAAGATCCCAAGCTATCACCAGAAAAGTAGAATAAAAAGCTGAAGCCTAGTAAACACTCACACTTAGTCTTTACCGTTGCCCCAGCTCCAACCTTCCACTAGGGAAGAATACCAGCTGCTGGCAGAAAAGTGAAATTTCAAAACTTCTTAAGCCAAGAAGGGCCCTCTGAGCCTTCAAACCTACTCCTCTTCTCTTGTAAATAGACAGACACCCAGAAGGGGGAAGGATTGGCCTGAGGTCAATGGTCGCAGAATTGGGTCCCAAACCCCCAGCTCTGACACTAGGTCCAGTGCCCTTGAACCCACATCATGGTGATCCCCTGCACTCCGCAACGATCACCCAAAACCAAATCACCAAGCACTGCGACTCGGCTCAGTTCTGCCAAAAGACCCAGTGGTAGACAGTTTCAGGGGTTAGGAAAACTTATAAATAAACTAGTGTGTCTGGAACCCCCAAGACCACTCCTAGTTTTGGTGATTCTCTAGGACTCACAGGACTCAGCATACAGTTGTAACCATGGCCATGATTTACGACAGCACAAAAATACAAAGCAAAATCGTCAAAGGGAAGAGGTGCACGAGGTGAAGTCCAGAGGAAGCCAGGCGCAAGCTTCCAACAGTCCTCTCCCAGGGGAGTCACACAGGATGACTTCATTCCTCCAGTATGGAATTGTGACGGTACATGTGAAGTGGTATCTACCAGGGAAGCTCACTGGAGGCTTAGGGTTCTTCCTGGGGTCTGGTCACGTGGGTGCTCTCTGCCTAGCTCATACCACTCTTATTAGTTACGGTGGCAGGAACCGTCTCAAAATCCAAATTCCCAGAAGCCCACCAAGGCCAATCTTGTGAGCAGGCCTTTCTGAGAATATCAGTCTTGGGCCTGCTGTGTCAACTCTTAGCTGTACAACCAGCAGTGAGGTTTCAGAAAAAGGGGACCCAAACACACAGGGAGCCCATGCCATCAATGCATACGAAGGATAGAATGTACATGTCGTGGGACTTCCCTGGTGGCGCAGTGGTTATGACTCTGTGCTCCAGGGCTTCCCTGGTAGCTCAGTGGTTAAGAATCTGCCTGCCAATGAAGGGGATGCGAGTTTGAGCCCTGGTCCAGGAAGATCCCACATGCCACGGAGCAACTACGCCCACACGCCACAACTACTGAGCCTGCGCTCTAGAGCCCGCACTCCGCAACAAGAGAAGCCACTGCAATGAGAAGCCCGCGCACCGCAAGGAAGAGTAGGCCCCGCTCGCCACAACTAGAGAAAGCCCACATGCAGCAATGAAGACCCAATGCAGCCAAAAATAAATAAATAAATAATTAATAAATTTATTTAAAAAGACTCCACACTCCCAGTGCAGGGGGCCCCGGTTTGATCCCTGGTCTGGGAACTAGATCCCACATACATGCCGCAACTAAGAGTTTGCATGCCACAACTAAGGATCTGGCAAGCCACAACTAAGCAGCCCGCCGGCCACAACTAAGACCCAACACAGCGAAATAAATAAGTAAATAAATAATAAATGTTTTTAAATAATAATAATAATGCACATGTCATAATAAGCAAAACAGAGGGTCACGGGGGATCAGGAGGGTTCAACTTTCATGCGGTGGAAGGCGGGCCATGAGGGAGCCAGAGGGGACAACTCTTAGGCCATAATCTGAATCTTCACTCCAAAACCTCCTCCTCCTCCTCCCAAAGTTGTCCCCTTCTCAGTAAAGACCACCACCATCACCCAACAGCTCCAGCCAGACACTCACCACCCTTTTTGACACTTCCTTTTCCTCAACACCCACATCTGCTAACTTCTTTCCCCGGGCCTGTCAGCTTCACCCTCAAAAGTACTTCAAGTCTGCCACTCTTCCAGGTCTGCACTGTCACCACCCCGGTCTGAGCCATGATCACCACCAACCCAGCCTGGCATATTGGCCTCTCAACTGGCCTTCCATCTTCTACATTCGCCCCATCCATTCTTCAGACACCAGCAGAGTAGCCTTTTTAAAATGAAAACCGGATCAGGCCTCTCCTGCTTTTATAGCCCCCTTTAAAGGCCTCCCATTGCACTTACAATAAAGCCTTAGACAGAGGCCCCGGAGACTCCCCCAAAGCCTGGACTCTGCCTCAACTGGAACCACCTTCCTTCACCATCTCTTTCCTCCAGCCACACTGACCTTTCCCCTCCTTAAAATAGTAAGCCCTGCCCTACTCTACTGCTTTTGCCCCTGCAGTTCCCTCTTCATAGCACTCCACCCAATGGCCAGCTCCTTCTCGTTCTCCAACTTAAAATGACACCTCCTCTTTCCCTCTCTTTTCTTTCCCTTCATTGCACTCATCACGACTGGTGGTTATTATTGCTCGTTTATGATTATTTACTGTGTCTCACATCAGAGGGTGAGCTCCATGAGAGCAAGGGCCATGGCTACCATGCTCACCCCAGGATGCCCAAATGCCAGGTAGGGTAGACACTCAATATGTATTGAATCCATTTATAAGTGAGCAAGTGAATAGACAGGCCAGACCTCAGACAGTTGGGAGGGAACCTGAACAGCAAGGTGCTGGGCATAACTATATGAGCTGTCAGGTATTATTTGGCAGGTTTTGTACAAGTTTCTTATGTGCATTTCTTCTCAACTGCATGTTGTAGACTGAATATTTGTATTCTCCGAAAATTCATATGTTGAAACCTAATCTCCAAAGTGAGGGTATTTGGAAGTGGGGTCTTTGGGAGGTGCTTAAGTCAGGAGACTGGAGTCCTCATGAATACTAGTGGCCCTTACTGCCCTTCTGCCACGTGAGGTCACAGCAAAAAGACGGCAGGCTACAAACCAGGAAGCAGGCCCTCCCAGACACTGAACCTGCTGGACCTTGATCTTGGCCTTCCCAGCCTCCAGAATTGTAAGAAATAAATTTCTGTTGTTTATAAGCCACCCAGTCTATGGTATTCTGTTATAGCAGCCCAAATGGACACTGCATTATCACTCTATGAGATAAATACCCTTATCTCCATTTTAAGGATGATAAAAATGAGGTTCAAAGAGATGAAAGGACTTGTCCAAGGCCACAGAGCCAGCAAGCAGAGGAGCCCGGTTCAGACCCATGCTCAGACCCGAACTGCCTCAGGGGAGCAGGTCCCAGGGTCTGTCCTGTGCCCTCAGACACCCTGACATTCCTCCAAGTTACCAAACAGACAGGACAGGCTATGGTAAGCTTCTGGCAAATCAGAGCTTAATGAAAGTAGAGATTATTCATAGCCCAGGAAGGGGAATTCCCTGTGCAGTGGGCTGTAGCAACGAGTCCCGCTGGGTGAGTGGGCCAGCCCTCCTCCAGGACTGGAACTGTAGAAAAGTAGTTAGCTAATATCCCAGCAGAAATATTACTTCCCACCAGACGAGGAACCCCACTCAGCCAGTGGGCTCTGGGAGAGGTGCAGAGAGATCACTACTCTAACCTGCCAAGCTCCAAGGAAAGAGGAAGCCCCATCTGGGCTGGCCAGGGCCCAGGGCAGCTCACCAAGCTGCCTCGCCTGGCTGCCGGCCTCACCCTCAGCCCCCGCAATTCAGCCATCACCTTCAAACACTGCGAAGATTGTATCAGGCCTGACAAGTTGACAGTGAGTGACCTGCGTGAGACAGATTCCCAGGCTCTGGTTCCAGAGCTGGCCCTCCAGAGTCCTGGCAAAGAGTACAACACTCTATTCTCCCTTACGGGCAGGCTGCCCAAGGGAGCTGCTGAAGCCAGGCGCAGACAACGCCACTGGGTACAGGGAAGGGGCCTGCTACCTGGGGAGGTTTGGCTGGAAGGAGGCCAGCCTTAACAGGAACCCTGAGTTCAAAGTATAAGATGCAGATAATCAATGGCCTGTTCTCTCCTGACAGAAGGCAAAGAACTGGGGACACGAGTGATTAAAGGAGAAGAGACCCCCCAAAAGGGGAAAAAAAGAGGTGAGCTAAATTTCAAGAGCCAACCTAGGAGATAGGAAGCTCTCTGGCTCTATCTAGCCCAGAGGCAAGATCGGAAAGGGGACTTGGATTTCGCCTCTCAAGCCAACATACCCTTAGGGATGCCTCCTCGACAGAGCCGACCACAGCCTGCGCTGCAGTGCTTCTGCCTAGCCAGACAGGATTCATCCTCCCAGTATGGCTCTTTGCATGGGTTCTTATTGCGAGGGCATTTTCCTTCTTTCACTGCAAAAGTTATCACTTGAGATCGGAGCAACTGGCGAGGCCTCAAGAAACAGGGAATGGAAGCCAAATGTACTTCGGGGACTTTTAGTCTCTCCAAAATTCCTGTCAAAAATATTTCTGGGGCTTCCCTGGTTGCACAGTGGTTAAGAATTCGCCTGCCAATGCAGGGGACACAGGTTCGATCCCTGGTCCAGGAAGATCCCACATGCCGCAGAGCAACTAAGCCCATGCGCCACAACTACTGAGCTGGCGCTCTAGAGCCCGCAAGCCACAACTACTGAGCCCGCGAGCCTAGAGCCCGTGCTCTGCAGCAAGAGAAGCCACTGCAGTGAGAAGCCCGTGCACCACAACGAAGAGTAGACCCTGCTCGCCGCAACTAGAGAAAGCCCACGCGCAGCAATGAAGATCCAACGCAGCCAAAAATAAATTAATTAAATAAATAAATAAATTCAAAACAAAATATTTCTGCAACCACTTTCCCCTTCTCCCACACAGCTGCTAACATGCACCCAGCACCACACATGGACCAGCCACTCTGCAGAGAGAGAGACAGAAAGCTTGGGGCAATCCTATTCTCACCCTAGGGTGAGAGCCCTCGGGAAAAGCTAGAACCTCTAGTAAGCCAGACTGGAAGTGCTATCTCCTTGTCCAGAGAGGACAGAGAAAGCCAGGAAGACCTATCTTGGCTGTCCCAAGAATCTATGCGTCCAGTTCTGTTCTACAGAGAAGACCATCTCCCCAGATGAGGACCCTCACTCTGGGAGGAGGCAGGGGATGACTTCTCTAGTCGTTTTCTATTGCTGTTAGCCAGGGATCCCAAATGATAGCTCACCATGCTCTCCTGCAGTCACCCAGGATGCCACGGACCCAAGAGCAAGAAGTGCCTTCAGGAGGAAGAGGCAGCTCGACATGATGATGATGCTGAGGGTAGAGATGAGAACTCAGTTCAGGCCAGACGTGTACACCTTGCCTTGTATCAATACATCAACCGAGGGAAGGGCAAGACTAGGGGATTGGTCTAAGGCCAGCCACAAAGTTTTCCCTTTCGCAATAATCCCCAGCGATGTCTTCTCCTGACAAGAAGAAAAGTGACTGGTTGCTGGTGTGTGGGAAAATTCCTGGCACTACCAAAAGACACACGTGATGGAAATGATCAAACTCTGCAGTATACACAACATCCCTGGACAATAATGACGAATCTAATGGGCAGCTGAGGAAATGGAGGGATGGCCACTGGATAAAGGATCAAAGAGAGCCCTAGAGGGTTTTGGAAGGACACAGCTACAGCTGTAATGAGAGAGGAAAGGACTAGAGACACAACTAAAGAAAAGAGCCAAAGCTAATAAAATGCACTGTGGCTCCTGTCCATCCTAGCAACCTAGAAAACAGAGAATGGAACAGACTGCTTAGAAACTATCCAAAAACTACAGAAAAGCAGTGTTTAGATTTGTTCAGAACTAATATAAATGCACCAAAAACCTACATCTTGGTCCCTCTAGCCCATACAGGGTATTATTGGACTATATGAAGGTTAGTCAACAAAACCCAAAAGAACAGTTGCTATGACTCAAGTAGTAACCTAGGTCATATATACTCCCTTTCTTTATCTCTTCTTCCTATATTTCTTTTTATTTATTTTTTAATCTATTCCTTTGGTCAACCATGATACCTAACAGCAATACCTATTGGCATTGCTTAGCCTAACCTAATAAGGTTAAAGGGTAAAAACCTCCTTAATAGGGACAAAGAGTTTGGTGCCAGAAAGTCGCCTTATTGTTTTAAGGCTGATATTGGAGCGTGGAGATAATTAACATTTATTGATGACCTAACATGTGTTTTATACACATTATTTA